TCAGGGACTTGTTTTCCCTCATGCTGCTCAGGGACTGCTAAAAAGAAAGAAAAAAAGGAAAGAAAGAAAAAAGAACAGGCGCGCATAGGAGCTCCGGGTGGAGCATCCTACTCTGCCGCCAAGTTAAGCCCAAAATCTTGTGCAACGGCTTTAGAATAGTTGCAATGTGAAAGAGCTTTTGCACAAGCCAAAGAGACTTTATTAACATTAGAAGTCCTGACCTGTTTTGACCCAAAGTTACTGTTGTAATTAGCATGCAATACATCGCTGTTTGGAGATGGAGCAGTTGTTTCTCACATATTACCCAATGGTAAAGAGGAGCCAATAGCTTTTTGCATTAAAATCATTAAACAAAGCAGAAATGAACTGTGTACAGCTAGAAAATGAAGCTCATGGAATTGTTTTTGGTGTTAGATGATTCCACCAATATCTGTACTGCTGGGAATTTACCCTACTAACAGACCACTGACCACAATATTTTGACCTCCAGAAAGGGATACCTTCTCTTGCAGCAAGCTGTATGTAGAGGTGGGCATTGTTGCTATCAGTTCACATTTATAGAATTAAGTATCACAATCTAACTTGCATGGGAATGCTGACAGGCTCTTTAGTTCCCCTCATGGGAATGCTGATAGGCTGTCTAGTTTACTTTGCCAAATGTGTCAACTGCCAATCGGTCCTTATGTAGGCATTTTTTACTTCAAACTACTAGAGACACTCCGGTAACAGCAGGACAAGTTAAGTACACTAGAAATGATCCACCAGTGTTAAAAGTGGTGGGCTTGATACATTGTGACAAAATCACAGGACAACCTCAGAACTGAAGCCATATGTCACACAGAGGTTAGAACTATTTGTAAAAGCAAGGTGTCTCCTCTGGAGAATGAGGGTCACCATTACACCAAAGCTAAGAAACCGCGTGTTAATCAACAATAGCAAGGTCATTGTGGTAGTGACAGAATGAAGAAGGCAGCTAGAAGCTATTTTAAGCGGTCAAGGTTCGACTCCAAAAGAGTTGGGGGGGGGCGATGTGAGGAAAATGTGGGAATATATGCAGCCTGTACAAAAGTTCGCAACTTACCTCCATTAACACCATTATACCCATGAGATTGACCAGAAAAGTCATGGCAAAGAATTCATATTGACTACACTGGAAAGTGAATCAAAAACAGAAATTGCTGGTAAAGCTCAGCAGGTCTGGCAGCATCTGTGGCGAGAAATTGCAGTTAATGTATCAGGTCAAGTGACCCTTCCTCAGAACTGTTCTGTTCCTCGGTTCTGAGGAAAGGTCACTCGACCTGAAATTTTCAACTCTGATTTCTCTCCACAGATGCTACCAGACCTGCTGAGCTTTTCCGGCAATTTCTGTTTTTGTTTCTGATTTGCAGCGTCTACAGTTCTTTTGGTTTTTACTGAAAAGCAAATGTTTTTCATAATGGTTGATGCACATACTAAATGGTATGAAGTTGTCATCATGACGACATCTTCAGAGAAAATCATTGAAAAATTTAGGGGTGGGGTGCGATCTTTGCCAGGTTTGATTATCTACAACAACTTGTTCGTGAAAATGGTCCACAGTTCGTATCACAAGCGTTTGTGGACTATCTAAAGCAGAATGGAATTCAACATATCCCCTCAGCTCCTTATCACCTAGCTAAAAATGGCTTGGCAGAAAGGATTGTTTGGACAATGAAACATTCCTGCAGGTAACTTGAGAACAAAGATCCCATCTAAAAGACAGCCATTTTTGTTAACATACCGGAACACAACCCACTCGACAATTCAAGATAAAGTATCAGTTGTGCACATTTGCTGAAATTACCCATGACGATTAACATTGTTGACAGGAAACTACAGGATCAGGTTTTCCAATGAGAGATCAAAGCCAAACGTTGCATTTTCCAAAAAAACATCGTGTTGGTGAAGAATTACACCACTGTGAGAAGTGTGTACCAGCCATCATTGCAGCAGAGACTGGACTGGTTCCGTACACTTTTCAGATGAGAGATAATGTAGTATGGAGAAGACATGCAGATCAACTCTTGGCAATCAGAATGAATGTGCCAGAGACAACATTAATTGAAGTTCCACAAATAACTGTGCCGAATAGAGACTTAGATATACCTGAGGACAGAACAGTAACTCAGGGAAACAGTACATTATTGGAGAACACCATAACATTGTCGTTTCAGGAAGACACAATGACAGATGATGTTCCTAGTACACTTAAAACACTAGAGGTTAAAGCCAATGAGCAAAATAAACAGACACCTGAGATGCACTGGTACCCACACAGGAATCAGTGTCCTCCATAATGCCTTACCTACTGATGGTTGTTTATATAAGTGTACATATTGTGAATGTCTTCACTGGAAGAATCACTGATGTAAAGCGGAAGGGATGTTGTGTGTTTGTATAAGTATTGTGGACTGTTACTTTAAGTGTCTGATCATGTGACAATGATGATGTAAATGGCCATTTTGGGCTGGAAACATTTTAGTCTAACCTTGCTGTCTGTAGAGTAACGGCTCCTGCTGTTTGATGCTTTGGCCTCCTGGTGCTTCTTGAAACCCAATCCCCACAACTGTACATAATACTCCAGCTGAAGTCTAACAGCTGGGTATAGAAAGTGTGAGGTTTTCCACTTTGGTAGGAAGAATTGAAAAGCAGAATATTGTTTAAATAGAGCGAGAGATTAAAGTATGCTTCACTGCAAATGTGTCCATGTTCATGAAATTAAGAAGGCAATGGAATGTTGGCCGTTATTACAAGGTAGTTGGAGCAAAACAGTTGAGAAGTCTTTCTATATCTGTACAGGGCATTGGTGAGACTGCATCTGGAGTACTGCGTACAGTTTTGGTCTCCTTAATTAAAAAGTGTTATACTTGCTTCAGAAACAGTTCTGAGGAGGTTCCCAATGCTGCTTTATAGGTTGAAGGGGTTGTTTTATAATAAAAAGTTGAGTAGGTTAGGCTTGTGCTCAATGGAGTTTAGAAGATTGAAAAGTGATCATGTTGAAACTTATAAGATTCTGAAGAGGATGTTTCTTTTCCATAAACCGTAAGATGTAGGAGCAGCAATAGGTCATTCAGCCTTTTGAGTCTGCCCTGCCATTCAATGTGATCAAAGCTGATGTGATGATCCTCAACTGTGCTTTCCTGTCTTTTTGTCATAATCCATGATTCTCTTAATTATTCTCTGAAAGTCTCCAAAAATCACACTGCCATCTGCCAAAACCCAGTCAGAGCAGGTTCTGTCTTGATTGACCACTTGACCGTCCAGCCAGTTGCCAGCCTGAGAGTAGCAGCAGCTCAGTGCTGATCATCGACAATCTCCTTAGATCAGTAATTAAGTTGCATTATCTTTCCAGGCCAGTTCCTAACAGAAAACATATGTCTTTGTTCTCTTCCCTTTTAAAACCTGCTGTTGTTTAAAGTTCAGTTCTCAAACAGTTCCAAACCAAAAAATGTGATAAATAAGAGAAAAATAGTATTGATCTCCACGTAATCTTCATTGTAACACTTGTGATTCTGCCTCAGTTATAATCATGTAAATTAGTAACAGAGCAGTCATGTCAATCTGAAATTGCAGATAGGATTTTGGATTTTTTTTTCAAGTCTTGATTAGTTTTGGACAGTATGGAGTTCAAAAGCACGAACTGCAACCTTCTATATAAGCTTTTAATACTTAGGATGTGACGCATTAACTTTTGCATGAGCATGTTGAGTGTCAACTTACTTCAAGACAATAGTATAAAACGTGCTGTTGCTGTGGAGTATTGCTGAATTTCACAAAGTTTGAACCGGTAGCTAATCTGTTTTGTCACCTTCAGTGAAGTTGACAGTTCAATGCAGACCATGCATATTTTCTACAATGTCACCTGAGGCTCACTTACCAATATATGAGGCACACTTCAAATGGGAAAAATAACTACTTGAGGTTTACCTGTCAATATGAGCCAGAATATTGAAGCTCTGTGGGGAAATCTGTTACTTGAGTAATCTGAGGAATGTAATCTGAGGAATGTAATCCGAGGAATGTAATCCTGATAACTCAGGTTATTAATCAGTGAGTAACTGCAGTATGCAGATTAAGGGAGTTCCTGGTTCAAACCTCATTCTCTGCTGAGAAAATTGTTCTAAGCGTAGACATTGTCACTGGCCTTAAGGAAAATATCTCATTTCTCATCCTGATAAGTAGACACCTATTGGAAGGTAGATCTAGTTGCTGGGTTTAAGATGCAAATTGGCAGCAATGGTTTCCCTAATTGAAAACTTACTTGTGGCCTAGGAGCAATCATGGAAGCATTAGGGTATACCAGCAGCTATGGAGAAAGTACTTCTGCAAGGAATCCGGCACCTGCAGACGAAGAGAGGCTAGTGAAGAAAATTGATGTCTAAGACTGAAAAATACAGTTCTCTAACTTTCTAGATAGATGATGTGATAGTCCAAATCTAGATAATCTAAATAGTCTAAAGATGTTCAGGGTGGTGGATTGGCTATGCTAAATTGCCCATAGTGCCCAGGGATGTTTAAGTTAGGTGGATTAGACAGGGGAATGCAGGGGTAGGGGAATGGATCTGGGTGGGATGCTCTTCTGAGGGGTGGTGTGAACTGGTTGGGCCGAATGGCCTGTTTCCACACTGGAGGGATTCTATGATGACTTTTTTGATATAAACCTCTTACCTGTTTGTACATATCTTTATCTTTGCTCCATCCAAACAAAATATTAAAATGCTATTACTTATTTAGCGTTATACCATATAAGTTTGTACTGGGTTTTAATGAAGAAGCCTGCTGTCGAGAAAATAATAAAGCTGAGTGTTATTGATAACTGTCAGTGATCTCCGGGTGAATTCTACAGGATAATAGATCTATCCAGCTGTTTCCTCCTTCACTCCCACTATCTTGTAAGTTAAGACAGATTTACAGACATTGCGATGAAGCTGTCACGCTAAGGGATTTTGAAACTAATGAAGACTTTTTTTTCTGCATTGCAGCGAAGCTTCCTGGGTTCTGCTACATTTGCTGTAGGTGATCTGCTGAAATCAGATGAGCAAACGTTAACCATTAACCTAAGGTATGTGTACAGAGATTAAAAGGAAGTACCAACTTGGGTCTTTGCAATATTGATCACACAAAATATAAATGCATTTGTTAGGTAGATATTTAATTGGCAATTTCTAAACCCTTATTGCTGATGTGACTTGTATTCAACATACTCAGAGATGTGTGAGATAAATAGAGAAAATGTGAGCAGCCGCAGTAATTATCTATGATAGCTATTATGGTTGCAAGTGAAATGCATTTAGGCAGCCTTATTTTAGTTGTCAGTGGACAATGATCCAGTAGCCCAGAACTGTCTTTCAGATTCCACATCAATTAACACATCCTCATGCTGCGAGGCCACATGGATAAGTATTACTGGTACTGGGAAGTGTCATACAAGTGGTTATAACAAGCTTGCCTCTGCATTTGCTGTTGAAGTACACTTTAGGAATAATGCAGATGAAGCCTTGCATCACGTTTGACACCTCTACAGAATATCTGACCTGGGAATACTTGGTACTGTCACTTGATAATGACGTGCAAGGAATTACTTTTTCCCAGTGAGTTTATGCCTCACTTTAATCTGTTTATGTACAAAAAGGCTCTTTTTAATTCCATGGATACTGGTGGAGAAGTTTCTTCTTCATTTAAGTATATTTCACTCTAAAATAAAAAGTGTTTTTCACATACATATATATCAGCTATTTGTTACTTACATTGAAACAATATTGCAACACATATAACAAAACACAAAAAGTACTGGGAAAATTCAGTGGTGACATTTTAGTTTGATGCCTTATCACTTTGAAAGGCCATTGATTTGAAAGATTCACATGCTGAACATTTCCTGCATTATTTCTGTTTTTCTTTTGTGATCCATGGAGACTACTACCTTTTAAAATGAAATGCAAACACCCAGTCATTAACCAAAAGAATTATGCCACAATATTCCATGTTTTAAATAAAAACCTAAACTGTATAAGTGTAAAACAAACCAATATTGCTGGTTTAACACTGTGGGCTGAATCGTACATATTTTTGGCTAAGCGTGAGTTGCATCTTTATTCATTAACGAGATGAGGGCATTACCGGCTAGGCAGCATTTATTGCCATCCCCAATTGCCCAGAGGGCAGTTCAGAGTCAATCACATTGCTGTGGGTCTGTAGGGCAGACAAGGTAAGGATGGCAGTTTCCTTCCTTAAAGGACATTAGTGAACCAGGTGGGTTTTTCCAACAATCAACAATGGATTCATGGTCATCATTAGATTCTTAGTTCCAGATATTTTATTGAATTCAAGTTCCATCATCTGCCATGGCGGAATTCAAACCCTGGTCCCCAGAATGTTATCTGGGTCTCTGGATTAACAGTCTAGCGATAATACCACTAGGCTATCGCCTCCCAAAGATGCCCAACACAGGCCTAATGAGATTTCCCTGCTTTATATGACCAAATGTACCTCATTAACGACCATCTTGCTCCTATTCACATCCCTCACATCAGTTCTAGCCCTATTTTACCACACATTGTTCTCAGAGCATGCGGCACGGTGGCTCAGTGGTTAGCACTGCTGCCTCACAGCGCCAGGGATCCAGGTTCAATTCCTGTCAACTGTTTGTGTGGAGTTTTCACATTCTCCCTGTGTCTGCGTGGGTTTCCTCTGGGTTCTCTGGTTTCCTCCCACAGCTCAAAGATGTGCAGACTAGGTGGATTGGCCATGCTAAATTGCCCGTAGTGTCCAGGGATGTTTGGGTTAGACATAGGGAAATGCAGGGGTCGGGGTGGGATGCTCTTCAGAGGGATGGTGTGGACTTGTTGGGCCAAATGGCCTGTTTCCACACTGCAGGGATTCTATGAGATACTCAGTTAGAACTCTAGCATCCCTTCTCCATGTGCTATCTTTAAAAGGTTACAGTGCACCCTGACAAGTGTTGGCAAATCACTGTTGTTCCTCACCGACAGTGTAATGCATAGCAACCAAAATGTCATGCTACCACATTCACATAGCTGGCGTGGCCAACTTGGAGGGGTGGGGGCTGGGTGGGTGGGATTGTAGAAGGAGGCCATAATAGAGGGAGTGGGCTGGAGGGAAGAAGAGAGTGGGTGCAACTGGGTGGGGAATGATGGCATGCAAGAAGGGTGGGGGCAGATAGGGGCACAAGGGGTCTGTGGAGAGATGGGGTACAAGTGGGTTAATGAGATGGGAGGGGAGAAGGGGAGATGGGAGAGTGCAGAAACTGGGGAAGGGGAAATGAGTGGAACTTCATTGTTAGTTGTGGGGGATATGGGTAAGTGCAAGGTGGTGGGATGGCAAGGTGGCTGCAAAAAGGGGTGGGAGTGAGATGGAGGCTACAAAGCTAAGAGAAGAGAGAGGATAGTTGTAACATACAGAACAAATTCAAATGTGTCAACAAAGGAACATTACTAATGAGAAGCCAGGAAATCTTGAAATTACAGAAATCATTAATTACTTGCAAATGAAAATGGAATCTCTGGCTTAAGGGTGCATTTGTTTAGGAGGTACAATATGTGAAAAATGTCATGAATGCTACTGTCATGAACACTCGGTCAATTGTTAGGTTTAAATCTGAGTTTGAGATCGGTGATACAGTAATAAGGGTAGTAACCACTTGGTTGAAATTTTCTAGCTTTGTAAATATGTGATGGAACTCTGTCAGCTGAGCCTTAAGTGATGACTTTTTATCTGCGAAGGTGTATCTATTATTTAAAAAAAAATTCAGAAGAACTTTTGTTGCCGTGTGCAATTTAAATACTGTAGTATCGAGAATATTTATGTTTTGCTTAAGTATTGTGTTTTTAGATTTAATAGATGTTTGATAATTATTGAGGATATTCATGATTTCTAAAGACCTCATATGTCAACACACGTATAGAAGATAATGAATGAGTTAGTAAGAATGGCAACAGTTAGCCTTTAAGAGAAGCCCTAAAATAAAATTATGCTTTCATCTTGAGGGTTCTTTCAGTTCTTCTGGACCAAGCCCCACAACATTCATCAATTCATTTCAATTCTCTTTAGTGCACCCACTGTTAAATTTGTATGTTAAATCATTCAGCATGGAAACAGACCCTTCGGTCCAACTAGTCCATGCCAACCAACTTCCCATACTAAACTAATTCCACCTGCCTGCACTTCACCTATATCCCTCAAATTCTTTCCCTTTTCTGAGTTTTAAGCTGTCATGGGGTTCTTTCACTAATATCTGACTCGGTAACATTCTCTGACTCTCCTTCAACCCCTCATGATTGTAGACTCCCTAGTTTGAGCATGAGTCTCATTGCATTCCTGCTTAGTGACTCCAAATCAGAAAGCACTCTTTGTTTCTGAACACAAATCTGCAAGGTTCTGTGTTTCAACACAAAACTGGTCCAAAATTTAATTGCCTATTTCTGTGACAAATCTCTACAATCTTTCCCTCTGGTAATGCGACAAGCATAGGATGTCCCAGAAAGGTGTTCTAAGTTATTATCTCCAACCTTATATTCTGGGAAACACAAGAATATTTAAATCTCTCTCTCTCGCTCTCTCTCTTTTGCCCCACCTTGATAATTTTTTTGGTGGGAAGGTTTGTAGGTAGCCTTTTAACTCCACCACCAATTGAGGCCCTCACTGGCAAATTAATGTCCACTTAAGGGCCTTTTCCCACCACCTCTGGTATTAATTCAGCGGTGGCATGAAGGCTCCCTATGCTGAGACCATTTAAGTGTACATTGTCTGCTTGTGGCTGCCTAGGTCGATGGGGAGGGGTGCCAGGGTCTGCCCCTCATTCAAAGGCAAATTGTAGGAGTCAGCATTGGGAAACACCTTCCACCCCAACCTTAAGTTTACCTGGACCATCTCTAACACCTCTCTCCCCTTCCTGGACCTCTCTGTCTCCATATCGGGCAACCACCTAGAAACAGATATTCATTTCAAGCCCACCGACTCCCACAGCTACCTAGAATACTCCTCCTCCCACCCACCTTCCTGCAAAAATGCTATCCCCTATTCCCAATTCCTTCGCCTCCGCCGCATCTGCTCCCAGGATGAGGCATTCCACTCCCGTACATCTCAGTTGTCCTCGTTTTTCAAGGACCGTAACTTCCCCCCCTCAGTGGTCGAGAACGCCCTCAACCGTGTCTCCCACATCTCCTGCACCTCATCCCTCACACCCCGTCCACGCAATAAAAACCAGAAAAGAATCCCCCTCGTCCTCACGTACCACCCCACCAACCTCCGGATCCAACGCATCATCCTCCGACACTTCCGCCATCTGCAATCCGACCCCACCACCAAAGACATCTTTCCCTCCCCACCCTTATCTGCTTTCCGGAGGGACAACTCTCTCCATGACTCCCTTGTCCGCTCCACACTCCCCTCCAGCTCCACCACCCCCGGCACTTTTCCCTGCAACGCAGGAAGTGCTACACCTGCCCCCATACCTCCTCCCTCACCCCCATCCCAGGTCCCAAGAAGACTTTCCACATCAAGCAGATGTTCACCTGCACATCTGCCAATGTGGTATACTGCATCTGCTGTACCCGGTGTGGCCGCCTCTACATCGGGGAAACCAAGCAGAGGCTCGGGGACCGCTTTGCAGAACACCTACACTTGGTTTGCAATAAACAACTGCACCTCCCAGTCGCGAACCATTTCAACTCCCCCTCCCATTCCTCAGACGACATGTCCATCCTGGGCCTCCTGCAGTGCCACGACGATGCCACCCGAAGGTTGCAGGAACAGCAACTCATATTCCACTTGGGAACCCTGCAGCCCAATGGTATCAATGTGGATTTCACAAGTTTCAAAATCTCCCCTCCCCCTACCGCATCCCAAAACCAGTCCAGCTCGTCCCTGCCTCCCTAACCTGTTCTTCCTCCCACCTATCCCTTCCTCCCACCTCAAGCCGCACCTCCATCTCCTACCGATGAACCTCATCCCGCCCCCTTGACCTGTCCGTCCTCCCTGGACTGACCTATCCCCTTCCTAACTCCCTACCTACATTCACCTTTACTGGCTCCATCCCCGCCT